GATGTAGCTTTACCACCCTTGACTCCAAGGAGAACTCTGGCTGCATTTTCTCCAATACATATCTGTTTGTCCTTTTGGTAGTCCATGGACACTCAACACTCTTCTCCAACATCACAATTCAAAAGCATTTATCCTTCTTCTGTCATCCTTATTCATTGTCCAGCTCTCAGATACATAGCAGGTATTTGGAAAGATCATGACTTGAATCAGGCACACTTTAATCTACAAACTGACATCATTGCTCTTCAATGAGCAATGGAGAGGTCCCTGGCTACAGACTCTCCTAGTGCTATATGTCTTTTGATTTTTTGACTCATGGTACCAGTGGTGTTTGTTGTAAATTCAAGTAAAATGAAATAATTGAAAACTTCAATCTTTTTTCTATCTATCATGATGTTGCTTATTGGCCCAGTGGTGAAGTTTTTTGTTTTTTTTGGTGGTGAGATGTAATCCATATTGCAGACAATGGTCCTTGATCTTCTACAACAAGTATTTCAAGTCTTCTACACTTTCAGTAAACGAGGTGTGTCATATGCATAACGCAGGTTGTTAATGAGTCTTCCTCCAATCCTGATGCCACATTCTTCTTCATAAAGTCCAGCCTCTTGAATGATTTGTTCAGCATACAGATTGAACAGGTATGGAAAACGCATACCTTTTTAAATTTTAAATCATGCAGTATTTCCTTGCTCTGTTTGGATAATAGCTTCTTGGTCTAGGTATTGGTTTCATATAAGCTTAATTGTTTTGGAATTCCCATTCTCCTCAATGTTGGTAGAAGTCTTCGATTTCTTCATCACTGGCTTTAGTGGTTGGTGTATATATTTGACTAGTTGTATTAACAAGTATCCTTTGTGGGTATGGATAATATCCTATCACTCAACATTCAGAGTCTGTAAACTACATCAGACGATATTGCCCATCTTTTCCCCACTGAGCAGCTGGGCAGCTGGTGGGTTTGAACTATGTGCCTTTGGCTTGGTCGCATGGCTTCTTACCCACTAGGCCATTAGAGCTCCCTCACTAGATAAGAAGCTCTCTTCTCTTAGCCTCCTCTGTCCTGGGGCCTCACACCTCCTCAGGGCATGTGCTTTCATCTCCCCACATTGTTTTGTCTTTGTCTCTCTCTTCATCAAAGCAATGAACTCTGTGCCTTCAGATCAAGGGACCTGGAGGATTAGAGTGCTTTATAGTGTGTGAATGGATGGGACTAAGCAGTCCACTTCCCTAGGAAGGAAGCACACAACAGTCTAGTTTCAGATTCTGTAATGCTGCCTTTGAATGGGGAAACTCACTTGAACTATTCTTGCAGAGCTAGCAGAGGCTGGAGAATGCATTCCATGTCTCTGATTCCTCCCCACCCCCAAATTATACTTCAGTTACCCTTAAGGCAATTAAGGGAGCTCTAGTGGTGGAGTCACACAACTAACCCAAGACCTGCCTTCCCTGATGGCTCTCTCATCAGTGACTTCACAGGAGAGCGATGGGCTGTCTCCTCCCTGCAATTCATAGCCTCAGAAACCCACTAGAGGGACAGCTGTGAGTTGGTTTGGACTCAATGAGTCTGAGATAAGCTAATGAAAAAAATCAAGTGGAAAGAATCAAGCAAAAGAATTCATAACTGACTCAATCCTGTCACCACTTCACCATTTAGCAAAGAATTGCAGTGCAAATCACCCAGCTAGCCTTTGGGGGAGGAAATGTCACATTTCCAGGTCTGGGTGAATGTCTTCAAATGGCTGGGTGGAGTTTGTTCTCTCTTTAAAAATAAACAAAAAACTACCCTTCCTTTTAGAATTTACTTGGTGTGCGTGACCCATAAAGGAATTTTATCCCCATGGATGAGGCAGGCATGATGAATTGAGGAACTAAATTCAAGGAAGTTGCTGACCTGACTTTTCATTTCCTGCTTGTCTCACTTCCCTTCATCCCAATCTCCCTTATTTTTACTGTAAGCTCTGGTGACCTAGTGGGTTAAGAGTTGTGCTGTCACCCAAAACGCAGGTGGTTCAAATCCACCAGCTGCTCTGTGGGAGGGAGATGGACAATCTCCTCTTGTGCCATTTATAGACCCTGAAAACAGTTAGGAGTCACTTCTGACTAGACAGCAATGTGAGAGAGCAAAATCCTTCCGTTCTTAGAGAAAAATCTAAGTACACAAAAGTTTGCTGAATAGTCTTCTTGGAAAAGTCTCATTCTTGTTCACATGGAGGTTTGAGGAAGACTTTGTTCAGAGTAGAATGTTTTTATTTTTTTTTATAATCTCCATAGTCAACACTCTTGATACCAGCAGCCAGGAAATTAAAAGATGTATTGCGATGGGAAAGTCTGTGGTTAGAGACCTCTCTAAAGTGCTAAGTGCAAAGATTTCAGTCTGGAGACTAAGGTGAGCTGATACATGCCATGGTCTTTGCAATCACTTGCTGTACATCGGAGAGCTGGACAATGACTAGGGATGATAGAAGGAGAATTGATGCCTTTGAGCTGTGGTGTTGGAGAAGAGGGTTGAATATACCATGGGTTGCTAGAAAAACAAACAGGTTTGTCCTGGAGAAGGTGAAGACAAGGATTGTGAAGATTCATTTGACATACTTTGGACACGTTGCAAGGAGGGTCCAGTTCTTAGAGAGGGATGTGATGCTTGGGAGAGTGGAGGGACAGCACAGGAGAGGAGAAGACACTTGATTAAATTAATTGATTCAGTGACTGGGGTAATGGGGGCAGGTGTGTCAGAGATGGTGAGATTGGCACAGGATAGGTCAGAGTTTAGAGCTATTGTACATAGGGTTGCTATGAGTTGCAGGCGACTTGGCGGCATATAACAACAACAACAACAACAATGTGCTCCAGCTACTTAACCCAATGGCATGAAAGAAAAGAAATTATTAAAAGGAAAGAAGGGTTTGAGAAATTGGAGTCTGAGAAGCTGGGGCTGATTCTACTTCACTGGGCCTTGCTATCTCTGGATTCATTGAGAGATATCTTGTGTGTCAGGGCCCTGAGGAGAAGAAAAACCTGAGAGAGAGAGGTTGTCTATTGTTCTCACAGCCTCCAGCTCCCTCAGCATGGAGGATGGCACCCCACACAAGAGTTAGACACCAGGAAAGCTGAAGAGGCCATTTCTCTAACCTTCTGGCACAGAGCTAAAGTGTGAGTGATTTGAAGCAAATTTAGTACCCCGGGAGAAAATTCTGGGGCCACTTCTGAGTTAGAAGTGCTATGGAAATCACCTCTAAACGGAAGTTTGTAAGCTCTGTGCTTCTGGGTATAGGGTGTAGTCCTTCCCTATCTTACTTCTGTCCTTCTCAGCTGAGAGCTGAACCCACTCAATATTCACGTGTAAGATAAACGAACAGCTGTCCTGGGAATGGACAGGGAATTCCAGTGATGAACCCGGGGCACTGTGAGAGTGACAATGCAGAGACTGATGCTGCAGGCAGTGGGCAGAGTAGCAGGCTCTGACAGCACTAATCTATAGTAACACTATATATGAAAGATCCACTAAGCCCTGCTGCTTTCTTGGTCTGAGAGAAAAGTAATCATGATATTGACTTTGACACCTTTTGTGGATCAGGAAAGACGTAAATGAATGAATACCTTGTAATGCAGAAGGTCAAGAACTTTAGTCTTCAACATGAAAAGCCCAACATCAAGAAGACAAAGATTCTCACCACTGGGCCATTTGCAGCATCATGACAGATGGAGATGAGATTGAGGTCTAACAATTACAACTCGCTTGGCTTCACAATGAACACTCTTAACACCAGTAGTCAGGAAATCAAAAGACAAATTGTATTAGGTAAATCTGCTGTCAGGGACCTCTCCAGAGTGCTGAAAATCAACAGTGTGTCTAGAGACTAAGGTGTACCCAACCCAGGTGATGGTCTTCACAATTACTTGCTATGCGTCAGAGGGCTGGACAATGACTCAAGATGACAGAAAAAGAATCAATGCCTTCAAACTGTGGTGCTGGAGAAAAGTCTTGAACATACTATGGCCTAACAAGAAAACAAATAGGTCTGTTTTGGAGAGGGTTAAACAGTTTCTCGTTGGAGGCTAGGATTTTGAAGCTGTCTCACATACTTTGGGTATGTGGCCAAGAGAGACTGGTCTTTGGAGCTTTGGAGGACATCATGCTTGGAAGGGTGGATGGACAGCAGAGATTGATACTGTAACTGGGGCACTGGAGGTTGGTGTGTCAAAATTAGAGACTGGCTCAGGACAGGGTGGAGTTCAGAGCTGCTGTACATAAGGTTGCAGGCAACTCAATGGCATGTAACATTTCTTACAACCCTGCCCCTATGTTTTTTGGTATAAGCTAAAGTATATGAGTTGCATTTTTACACCATTCTACGTTAATAGAATGCCAAACTTTTCTTCTCTTTTCACTTGTCCAAGAAATTTTTAGGAATACTATTGACAGACAGGCTCAAGTTTCACAAACTACTAAACTCTTGTAGAATCTTGCAGTTCTAACCTCATTCTACTGATCTACAAGCTGATGTCTCAAGGCCCTGTTAGTGCTGGGCTTGAAAAAGTGAGTATTTACACGAGCTGCATTAAAAAAGGTGTTTAACAATCTAAAAGCTAAAATAACTTCCTGCTTGCCTCTCTCTTACCAGATGACTTGGGACAGGACATTCTCTCTCCACTGCCCATGTTAAATACAGGAAGTTGGGCAACTGAATCCATTTCTCTTCAGCACTTCTATGCTTTTTCCACAATCGCCTCATGCAGTCTTCACAATAGCCCACTAATAAGGAAAATGAGGAGATAGGTACCTGCTAACAAACATCAGCATAGTCCCACTCCTGAGCCAATGTCCTCAGAAACTTCTAGTCTAACTATAAAATTATGAATCCAGCATATTCCTTCTGTGCTAAAAAGATCCCACAAGTGGAAGGAAAAGTCTAAAATCAGTGCTTAAATCAGTGGAGAGTCCTCTATAACTATAGGCCAAGCAGCATGCTGCCCCCTCCCCAGGCCCGAGACTGGTGTTTCTATTGCTCTTTCAACAAACTCCCACGCACTGGGCCAGGAGGCTGGTACACAGCGTGAGAAGCTCCTCTCCGAAAGGGTTCCGCAGCTGGCTGTGGTGAGGGCTCCCACACCTCCACCTCCACCTGAAGATGGAATGATTCTGTAAGAGGAGTCCCATGTCCTTTTTTAAACCCTCAACCCAAAGAAAACCATGAGGATAACTGTAAAAATCTGTTTAATAAATATACATCTTAGAAGTACCAAAATAATTACCAACAAAATACACTATGCACATTATTTACAGGAGGGTAACACAAACCTTGATGAGTAGCAGCTCAAGGTTTTAATCCCACACCACTGATTTAACACACCTGACTGCTACTTGTCACAGGATACAACCAAAGACAGCCACTGAATCCAGGGTGGTTCAGTCAAAAAAATATAATAAATAAATGTGGTCCTTTTATCAAGTTTTAGATAATCCTCTTGGAAAATAAAATTCCTACAAAGGGGAGGCTTTCTTTGGATTCCAATTCTTTCTTTTCCCATATATAGGATTCACACAAAATGAGAGCTGACCCCCACGGGCCAGGCTCTGTGCCAGGCAGCACGCAGTGTGGAGTTAGCAGTACCCTCTGCATATTTTTTCTTCTCTCTTTTTTTTTTTTTTAGAAAAATAAACTCTTTTTTTTTGTACAAATATACAAGTCCATGTTTCTTCAGATTTTCCTTTTCATAATGCCAGGCGCTGGCCTCCAATCACACAGTCATCATAAGGTAGCT